AGGGTCGCGCTCCGGACGTGCGAAGTGGGGTTAAGCAGCTCCTGGAGAGAGGGAGGAGCATGGAATGTAACAACCCGGTCCAGCAGCTGCAGCCCGACCAAGGCACTGGCTTCCGGCTATTTAGGTGCACCCAAACTTCCACTGAGGGTTCATTCACTGTGAGGCCACTCACCAGGGACCAGCATGCTGGTGATGCCGCCGCTGTGCCCCACCCCCAGCACATCCTCAAAGGGGCAGAACTGAAGGCCGTGCACATGGCCTGAGAGGTGGTGGGTGAGGTAGGGCTGCTCCAGGGAAGGGGGGCTGGCCTTGCCCTGCCCTGCCCATATGTTCACGACGTCACCCATTCCTGCAACTAGCAGTCCCCGCTGGGAGAAGGCCAGGTGCCCCGCTCCCTGGGGCAGGGTCCGAGCACTCAGAGGCTGAAATGTCCCTCGCAGGTCGAAGATCTTCAGCTGGTGGTCCAGGCCAGAGGTGGCCATGTACCTGGAGAGAGAAAGGAGGTTAATTAATCTGTTGGTATGGATTTACTAAACAGCCTGTGGGCAAGTTCAGGGACCATCCAGCTGGGAAGAAAAAGACTCAACAGTAACAGCTACCACCACGCTGAGCATCTGCAGCCACCTGTCGGCTAAGCTTCACACAACTCTGTCCTCCTTTCAGGTCCCTTTTACAGATGAGGAAATTGAAGCTTGGAGACAGGAGATCTGGGTTAGTGAATGCTTGAGCTGGAATTCAGGTCAGGCTTGTTTCCTCAGTGTCTGCCCTCTGACCTAACACCCCGCAGTTCAAGTCCCGGACCTGGTGGCTTAAACTCACGCTAGGCGCGTGTGCGTGCATGCCCAAGATCCTGAGAGGAGAATGGAGGAGAAGGGATTGCAGCGTGGCCATTCCCCCAGGGGGTGATTTCTTGCTTTCTGTCTCTCTGTCTCTGTCTTTTTGGCGAGTGCACGTACCCCAAAGCAAAAAAAAAAAAAAAAAAAAAAGACACCCCCTCAACTCTGCGCACAGCAGTCAGGGAGAACACACGCCAGTCTGCCTACACGTGATGCTCCACCGCACAGGGAGAGCATCTGCAGTGGTGGGGAGGGCCTCGTGGGAAAGCTGGGATTTGGGCCATTCTAGGTAATTCTCAAGAAAGCACAGGAGGGGCCGGAAGGTGGCGCAGCAGTAAAACACAACACTACAAGGCAATCCCATATGGAAGGTTTCAGGTTCACATCCGGAGACCACCCCACGTATGCCAGTATACACGTATGCCCATAATCTGGGAGTGGACTGTGGCGTCAAGACTCTAATGAGGGACCAGCAGGTGGTGTAATGATTACATCACTGGACTCCCATGTAGTCGAATATGGTTCAAGTCTCAGACCTGGCGGCTTAAAACTCACACTAGGAGCATAATACCTGAGTGCCCAAAGCCCCTAGAGGAGAATGGAGGAGTGTGGACATACCTCTAGGGGATCGCTTTCTGCCTCTCTGTGTCTCTGGTAAGTGCATGCACACGACAGCAAGAACAGTACAGAGAACAACAAAACTCTGATAGAGGTGTTGTCTCTCTACCTCTATTTCGCTCATAGAAGAAATAAACTTTAAAAAAAGCACAAGAAACAGCTATAATTGGTACAAACACATTAACACCACAGGGTGGAGACAGTGAGATGGAGACAGGTGTCTTCAGGATTGGTGGAAAAAATACGATGAGGAAAATCAAAAGTGAGCAAATTATGGGTTTTTTTTTTTTGAGAGTTTTTTGGTATTTTTTGTTATAGGGCATGTGCACTTGCCAGAGAGACAAAGACAGAAAGTGAGAAATCATCAGCAGGGATGCCCACCCACAATCCCTTCTCCATTCTCCTTTCAGGATTTTGGACATGCACACACATGCATCCAGCATGAATTTTAAGTTTCCAGGTCTGGGACTTGAACCCTGGCTAGCCACCTGGGAGTCCAGTGCTTCATCCACCAGGCCACCTGATGGTCCCATAAACTGTATGTTTTTTTTTGTTTTGTTTTGTTTTTTTAAGAGGTTTTTGCTTTAGGGCATTGCTGGAGAGAAACAGAGACAGTAAAAGAGAAAGTGAGAAATCACTCAGGGCACAGCCACGCCGCAATCCCTTCTCCTCCTGGGATCTTGGGTACGCACGCACATGTGCCCGGTATGAGTCTCAAGCCACCAGGTCCAGGACTCACATGGCAGACAGCCATGTGGGACTCCAGCAATGTAACCCCTATGCCATCTGCTGGCCCCAGTTGTATGGTTTCTTAACATCAGACTGAGAGCCCAGAGCTCACTATCCCAACTCAGCTCTAAGTTGAGCAGATCCACTTAGTGAAGTAAGGTCTTTGCCCTGGACGGCAGGAGGGCAAGGCTGGTGACCGAATCCTCTCAAGGAATTGGGCACTGCATAGGTTGTTTACTTTCTGAAGTTAGAGTTCACCTTTCCTTCACGAAGGCTGAGTTGGACCAGACAAGCCAGGGAACTTATGTTTGCCAAGTGCCAAGGACTCTTTTTTTTTTTTTTGCCTCGACTATGAACCTACGAATTGGGGACTCAGACCACAAAAAAAAAAAAAAAAAAAAAAGACACCCCCTCAACTCTGCGCACAGCAGTCAGGGAGAACACACGCCAGTCTGCCTACACGTGATGCTCCACCGCACAGGGAGAGCATCTGCAGTGGTGGGGAGGGCCTCGTGGGAAAGCTGGGATTTGGGCCATTCTAGGTAATTCTCAAGAAAGCACAGGAGGGGCCGGAAGGTGGCGCAGCAGTAAAACACAACACTACAAGGCAATCCCATATGGAAGGTTTCAGGTTCACATCCGGAGACCACCCCACGTATGCCAGTATACACGTATGCCCATAATCTGGGAGTGGACTGTGGCGTCAAGACTCTAATGAGGGACCAGCAGGTGGTGTAATGATTACATCACTGGACTCCCATGTAGTCGAATATGGTTCAAGTCTCAGACCTGGCGGCTTAAAACTCACACTAGGAGCATAATACCTGAGTGCCCAAAGCCCCTAGAGGAGAATGGAGGAGTGTGGACATACCTCTAGGGGATCGCTTTCTGCCTCTCTGTGTCTCTGGTAAGTGCATGCACACGACAGCAAGAACAGTACAGAGAACAACAAAACTCTGATAGAGGTGTTGTCTCTCTACCTCTATTTCGCTCATAGAAGAAATAAACTTTAAAAAAAGCACAAGAAACAGCTATAATTGGTACAAACACATTAACACCACAGGGTGGAGACAGTGAGATGGAGACAGGTGTCTTCAGGATTGGTGGAAAAAATACGATGAGGAAAATCAAAAGTGAGCAAATTATGGGTTTTTTTTTTTTGAGAGTTTTTTGGTATTTTTTGTTATAGGGCATGTGCACTTGCCAGAGAGACAAAGACAGAAAGTGAGAAATCATCCCCAGGGATGGCCACCCACAATCCCTTCTCCATTCTCCTTTCAGGATTTTGGACATGCACACACATGCATCCAGCATGAATTTTAAGTTTCCAGGTCTGGGACTTGAACCCTGGCTAGCCACCTGGGAGTCCAGTGCTTCATCCACCAGGCCACCTGATGGTCCCATAAACTGTATGTTTTTTTTTGTTTTGTTTTGTTTTTTTAAGAGGTTTTTGCTTTAGGGCATTGCTGGAGAGAAACAGAGACAGTAAAAGAGAAAGTGAGAAATCACTCAGGGCACAGCCACGCCGCAATCCCTTCTCCTCCTGGGATCTTGGGTACGCACGCACATGTGCCCGGTATGAGTCTCAAGCCACCAGGTCCAGGACTCACATGGCAGACAGCCATGTGGGACTCCAGCAATGTAACCCCTATGCCATCTGCTGGCCCCAGTTGTATGGTTTCTTAACATCAGACTGAGAGCCCAGAGCTCACTATCCCAACTCAGCTCTAAGTTGAGCAGATCCACTTAGTGAAGTAAGGTCTTTGCCCTGGACGGCAGGAGGGCAAGGCTGGTGACCGAATCCTCTCAAGGAATTGGGCACTGCATAGGTTGTTTACTTTCTGAAGTTAGAGTTCACCTTTCCTTCACGAAGGCTGAGTTGGACCAGACAAGCCAGGGAACTTATGTTTGCCAAGTGCCAAGGACTCTTTTTTTTTTTTTTGCCTCGACTATGAACCTACGAATTGGGGACTCAGAGTTCCTACAGGGATCAGCAAGTGGCGTGGTAGTTAAGGTGTTGGACTCCCACATGGCTGACTGTGGTTCAAGTCCCAGACCTGGCAACTTGAAAATAACACAATTACATGTGTGAGCATGTCCAAAATCCAAGAATGGAAAAGAAAGGACTGAGGCATGGCCAGCCCCCCTAAGGGGTGATTTCTGCCTTTACCTCTCACTGTCTCTGTCTCTCACTGGCAAGTGCACATGCCCTCTAGCAAAAACCTAATCAAAAAAAAAAAAAAGAGCAGAGGTCACTCTGTGAGGGAGCCCAGCTGGATACTGTGACGAGACATGACAATCGGGACCCCACCTCTATCAGATAGAAAGGCCACAGGTGTACACTGGGAATGACTGAGGACTCCTCAGCAGGCCTCCCCACTCCCAGAGCCAGACCGGCACAGGTGTACAATAAAGAGGGTAGAACCAGGGCGATGGCACGGCAGTAAAGCACGACACTGCAAGGAAGTCCCACATGGGAAGATTCCCGGTTCAAGCCCAGAGACGTCCCTAAGTACACGAGCACCCGTTCTCCGGTGACCTGGGAGCTGGCTGAGGCTAGGGGGTGGACAGTTATAGGGTCACACCCTTCCATGAGCCAACAACTCCAAGGCACATGCTGACTCCTCTGACCCCCATCTATGGGAGGGCCCGGCAGCCCCGTGGGTGTTCAGGTCACGCTACTGTTCTACTAAACTTGCAAGAAAGAGTTCGGCTTTTCAAAGCCATCCAGTGCAGTCCTAATGCGAGATTCCAGAAAGCCTCTTGAGGGAGATGGTTAGCTTCATCTCCGGAGCCCCCATGGCTTCTCCTGAGCAGGACCAGCAGTAAGTGGAGATGGGCCTGCAATCAAGGACCACAGCTGCCCGGCATCAAATGCTGACAACTCGGCCTCAGTGAACAAAGCGAGCAGGCCTCAGGCCCAGCAGCGGCCAGCCCACGCAGGGAGCTACAGCTTAGGCCCGGCGTCCCACAGAAGGCGGGAGCCTCGGCAGGCCTCCCCACTCCCAGAGCCAGACTGGCACAGGTGTGCAATAAAGAGGGTAGAACCAGGGCGACAGCACAGCAGTAAAGCAGGACACTGCAAGAAGTCCCACATGGGAAGATTCCCGGTTCAAGCCCAGAGACGTCCCTAAGTACACGAGGCACCCGTTCTCCGGCGACCTGGGAGCTGGCTGAGGGCAGGGGCTGGATTGTGACACAGAGCCCCTGTTGGGAATGCCTATGTGTGTGTGTGTGTCTGAGTGTCATCTTTCTCTGTTGCTCTCATCATATAAGAAATAAACTTTTGGGATCAGCAGTTAGCAAACATGCCCTATAGCAAAAACCTCTCCAAAAAATAAATAAA